GACTTTGGCACCTGTGGAAGATCAACATTAATGTAGTTTTTCTCCATTAATTAATGCAAGACATAGTATCTAGAAAGACAATTATATTTATAGCATGCAAATTCAGAAACACTTGGAAACTGCCCCTCCAAAATATCTTTATTAGTCTGCTCAAAGACCTGAAAGAAATCCCACTATTGTGTATCACCTAAAAGATTAACAACAAAAACTAATAATAAGCCCTGGCCGGTTTGGCTCAGTGGTTAGAGGGTAGGCCTGCAGGCCAGAGAGTCCTGGGTTCGGTGTCCGCTAAGGGCATGTAGCTCGGTTGCAGTTTGTCCCCGGCCCCGGTTGGGGTTGTGTGGGTGGTAGCCACTCAATGTGTCTCTCTCACTTTGATGTTTCTCTTTCTCTCTTCCTTCCTCTCTCCTTCCCGCTCTATCTGAAGATAAATGCAAAAGTGTCCTTGGGTGAGGATTAAAAAAAACCAAAAACTAATAATAAAATAAAACAATTATAACAATATACTGTAAAAAAAGTCATGTGAATGGCTTTGGAGCCATTATTAAGTAAAATAAGGGTCATTCGAACACAAGCACTGCAATATTGCAAGTCAATCTGATAACCCAGAAGGCTACTAAGTGACTAATGGGCAGATACACTGGGCAAAAGGATGATTCATGTCTGGTGGGATGGTATGAGACTTCATCATACCATACTAAGAACTGAGGACAACTTAAAACTTATGAGTTGTTTATCTCTAGAATTTTCCATTTGATATTGTTGTACTGCGGTTGACCGCAGGCAACTGAAACCTGGAAAACAAAACTGTGGAGAAGGGGAGATTACTGTACATGAACGACTCCTGGATTTATATGTTCAAGCTGACCTCACCCCAGCACTTCAACCTGTTAATACCACTACCTTCTTTATGCTTCCATCATCTGTCTAAAAGCTACCTCAAACTTATCATGGCCACCTTCAACCTCTCCTCTCTAGCACTTCCTATTAACCAGCTGCTTAGGCCAAACTCTTGGTGTCTTCTACTCATCTCTTGTTCTCACACAACTCATCTTTTTCAATCAGAAAATTCTGGTTACTCTGCCTTTATAATAGAGCCTGACTCTGAACACTTCCCTCCACCCTCAGTGCTAAACTTTTAATCCAAACTGTCATCTCTTGCCACGATTATGCAACATCCTCCTAAATGGTCTCTTTGCTTTCTTCCTTGCCCCATACAGTGGGCAAGTGCTCCTTAAAAATATAATTCGGGTGATGAAAAAAAAAAAAGAGGAGTGAAATATATATATAATTCAGCCTGGCTGGAGTGACTCAGTTTGTTGACCATCGTCCTGTGCACTGAAAAGTTGCTGGTTAGATACCTGGTCAGGGCACATACTTGGGTTGTGGGTTTGATCCCTGGTTGGGGAACATATGGAGGGCAACTTTGCTAAAGTCACTTAGTCTAATAACTTTCATTTGCAGACTTTATCAGATTTTATACAGAAATGATCATTTCGCCTGTGAAAAAAGACATTTTTACTCCTTCCTTTCCAATACAACCTTTTTGTTCTTTCCTAAGGTCCCGGTTAGTACCCCCAGTACAAAACTGAATAGTAGCAGTGAGAGTAGATATCCTTGTCTTGTTCCTGATCTTAGGGAGAAAACATTCAATCTTTCGCCATTAAGTACACTGTTAGCTGTGGGTTTGTTGTTGATGTCTCTAATCAGATAGAAGAAATTCCCTTCTGTGATATTGTGACATATCAGAAATACATATTTGGCCTTGTTCCCAGTTCCTGTCACAGAGTTCCCAAAACCATTGTAACTTCCTGAGTGACAGAGGCGATAGGAGAATCCTTTTTTTTAAAAAAAATCGTATTTGGTCTTAGTCCCAGGTTCCTGACACAAGAGCTTCTGAGACCCTTATAATCTCCAGAGTGTCTTTTTGGTTTTCTAATAAGATGACTGGTAGCTGGGGGCCCCTAGATAGCTTCAGAATGGGGGCTGGTTTAGAGAAAGACCAAGGCATGATTAGAGGGTTGGAATTTTCAGTTCTATTCCCTAATCTGCAGGGAGGGGAGGGTGTTGGAGATTGCATTCATTGCCAATGAAAATGATTTAATCCATCATATCTATCTAATGAAATCTTCATAAAAAGCCCTCTAAACTGTGGAGTTGGGAAAGCCTCTAGAATACATCACTGTGCTGGGAAAACGGAGGCCTAAAGAGAGCACGGACGGTCCATGCTCCCTCCCCTGTTTCTTGTCCTATGTGCCTCCTCATCTGGCTGTTCATCTCTACCCTTTATAATAAACTGGTCAATGTAAATAAAGTATTTTCCTTAGTTCTCTTTGAGCTGTTTTAGCAGATTACTGAACCCGAGGAGGGGGTTGTGGGAACCCCTGATTTATAGTCAGTTGATCAGAAGGAGGGCTGAGGACCTGTTATTAGTATCTGAAGTCGGGGACAGAGTGTGGGACTGAGCATTTTACTTGTGGAATGTGATGCTAACTCCAAATAGTGTCAGAATTGAATTAAGTTTAGGTCAATCCAGCTGGTGTTAGAAGAATTGGAGAATTGGTTGTTGGTGTGAGTGATGGGGTTATAATAACCCAGTTATTAATTAATAGAAAAGGAGCAAAGGGAAGGACAAATAATATAGGCATGCTACTTGTATAGCTTTGCCAGGAAAGGGGGCGGGGCTGGGGAAGAATAGATGCATGCCCAGTAAATTATGGGTGAAATAGGGAAGGTACTTGCCTGTCAGTACTACCTGGGAAGAGGTCATTGGCCAGAGTAGAAGTGGCCACTGCAAGCACGGGAAGATTTGAGATAAATTTAATTTCCTAAACCAGGGGTGGGGAACATCCAGCCTGTGGGCTGTATAAGGCCAGAAAATTATTTGATCTGGCCCTACCAAGGCAACCACAGATAGGACTCTAAAGATTCAATAAATCCGGGAACTTTTTTGAAAGCAACATACATTTATATTAGGTGAATCACAACAATAACATATATTTTGAGGGATAAGCTTTTAGCTCTACTGAGTTCCCAGCTGTACTTCTTCCAGGACTGGATTAAGGGAAATGGGACTTTGGAAATTGAGGGACATAATTCCATGCAAATAAACCTATCACACCTTACCCTCCCATGGGGGCCTCCAGAAATGCTTATTCCAGTGGCACCCCAAGAACCCCACTCCTACTGGCAATGGAGAAAGGCAATCCCATACATTTGGTGTCAGAAATGTTCTATGGATAGAAACAGATTGTAGTACCTTCTATTCCTAGTTTATTGAGTGTTTTTATTATGAAAGAATGTTAGGTTTTTGTCAAATGCTTTTTTTTATGTCTACTGCGATAATCATATGGTTTTTTTTTTGTTTGTTTGTTTGTTTTTTTTTAGTTTGTTCATACTGATTGATTTTCAGATGTTAAACCACTTTTGCTTTCTTGGGATAAACCTCATTTGGCCATGATGTATTGTCCTTCTTATATAAAGATGTACTCAGTTTGCTAAAATTTTAAGAATTTTTGCCTCTATGTTCATTAGATATATTGGTCTGTAGTTTTCTTAAGTCTTTGCCTGGTTTTGTTATCAATGTAATGCTGGCCCATAGAATGAATTGGGAGATATTCCCTACTCTTCAACTGTCTTGAAAGGTTTGTGCAGAATCAGTATTATTTCTCCCTTAAATGTTTGGGCCTGGGGTTTTCTTTGTGGGAAGGTTTTAAACTACACTTTGAATTGCTTCAGTAGATATAGAGCTCTTCTGGTTATCTATTTTTTCCTTAGTGGGTGTTGGTAGTTTGTGTCTTTCAAGGAACTTGTCCATTTTATCTATGTTGTGGCATTTCTTTCTGGTGTAATCAGAATAGCAGATGAAAGTCCAAATTTTTCGCTACCTTTTCCAGTTAACTCTCCTTTTGGTACTTTGAAAAAATAAAGGGTCTTGACTGGTCCCTGAAGTCCCCCACCTTTCCTCCTAGGGTCAGCCTTTGGCAAAACTACTCCTTCCCCCTCTCCCTACCACTTGTACCTCTCCAGCATTTCCCCCATTAAGTCTTTCTAGTTAGTAGGAATTGACTTAAAAACAAACAAAAAAACACTCCAAACTGTTTATTACTTATTGACTAACCAGTCTAGGAGTAATATACACGTTTCAAAAGAAAATGTCTCTGTGATAAGTAGATGAGGGAAGTACTTTGGGAGATGGCCTTTTCTCTCTTTTTCAAATCCTATTCAAGTAGACATTTGTTTTTACTATTGTGCTTAAGTCTCCATCAAGGGAGTTCTCTTTGTCCTTTGGTTAACGCAAACTCTAACACAGCTCTGAGATCTCGCCCCCTCTGAGTCCACAGAATCCATTCTTTAAGCTCTGCCCTGTAGACCTCTGCCCTGGCGGCCCAACTGTTGGACTTCTCTGAGAAAGCGATATTTGTGATCCAGAATCGAGTCCAGAAATGTACATATGAACCCAAGTACTGCAGTAGACTAAGTCACGAAAGTTTGAAAGCCATAGTCGTAAGGCAAGCCCCTCTGAAGATGTTAGGTTCTTGCGGCGCCCCCAGTCGAACCCGGGCCCCTCCGCATTCTCGCCTTGGCCTGTCGGGTGGACCTCTCCGGAAACGCCGGGGCTTCCTTCCAGAGCGGTCACCGCGCGGGGACCGGGGCGATGAGGGTTGGACGGCGGGCTCCGGGGCCACAGCGCGCCAGGGAAGAGGCCCCGCAGGCGGGGAGAAGCCGAGGCTGTTGGGCGAGTGCGGGGAGGGTGGGTGGTGGGGAAGGAGGACTAACAGAGGGAGGAAGAGCTTGGCCCCGCGCGCCTCCCGAGCACTTGGACGCGCGGGGTCGCAGAAGGCCTTGGTGGCCCCACGGGCACTCGGCTGCCGGGGGCCGTCGGGGGTGGTTTCGGGCTGCCGGGCGCCCTCCGCGCTGGGCGGGGCGGGGCGGGGTGCCCGCAGCCCCGGGCACTGCGCGGGTTTGGCGCGTCTGGCTTCGGAGCGCACTGCCGCACCATGGGGTCGGCCAACTTGGAGCTGATTTTTGACCACGTGGGGCACTTCGGCAGGTAGGGGGGTGGGGTGGGGAGGGAGGACAGCCTAGGGGAGCGGGAGCCACCGGAGTAGAGGCGTCGGTGGGGTTTGTTTCTTTCCGTTGCCGTGAGGTTCTCGCGCTGCGCTCGCGATCTGAAAACATCTCCACCCCCATGTGTCCCAAGGAAGCCAGGAGACCTGGGGTAGACTCCCGATCCATACTCACTGACCCTGGCGGTGGGACCTCCCCACAGCGTGGAGAAGGCCACTGGGATTCGCTCCGGGATTGGTGGCTGCGGGGCAGGTGGGACGTGGGGCGCGTTCTTCCGAGCTGAAGTCGAGCGGTACCGGGTTACCCGAATAGAGGACTGTCTGTTCCTGGCCGCCCGTTTCTCTAATCCGCCAGACCGGCTCCTCTTTCAGTTCCTTAGACGACTGCTGCCCTGCCCACCGCGCCCTGGTGTCTCTCTCAGTGCCTGGCAGGTATTGCCCCAGGAACAACCGTTGGTCAGAGTGTGTTGCCATTTCTAGAAACCTAGTATGTGCCAGGTAGTAACACAGCGCTTTATTGGATGTTCAGTGCGATCTTGCAAAGGAGGTGTTCAAATCTACCTCCTGGTGGGACCCGGGTTTAACCTTTGTATACTTGGCACCCTCCTTTCATTTGTCGAATTAATTTTAAAAAGTTTTAAATGTATTCATTCACTTACTCAATCTCTCACCCACTCTTTGAGAAACGCTTCTCTGTCCGGTCCCGACTGTTTGGGGAGGAGAGGAAACTGGGTGAGGGGGCCATACTGCATGCTGATCAGAGATTTAGAACCAAGTCTGAATCCTGGCCTGCCACTTACCTCAAACATGATCCTGGGAATACTGTGTCTCAGTTTCCTATCCGCAGAATGGGAAGCATAACCCCTGACTTCCCTTTCCCAGGTTCATAGTGAAGAAATAAATGATGTAGTGCTGCTCTTCAAGGTGGAAAGTTTCACAAATTTTGGTTATGATTCCCAGTGTCTGCAAAAAGGAAGCCACAGAGCAGGGGGAGGAGGAGTGGGAGGCCCTGATCTGCCTCCTCCTCCTAATACCTGCATTATTTGAAAGCTGAATTGTGCCTTGCGCTGTCATCCGCACATCTTATCTTCTTTAATCTTCTCTACAGCCTTATGAGATTGATAGTATCACTCACATTTTACACATAAGAACACGAGCATGTGCCTGAATCCCAGATCTCATCATGGCAGAGCAGAATTGGATATCCATCAGCCTCCATAGCTCACATGCTCAACCATGATGCTCTCCTGAATACAGTTAGGTACCAACCCTGGTACTAGGCCAGACCCTTTATACATTATCTCATTTTATCCTTCTGGAAGCAGGATATCTGAGTTCCAGTTCTGGCGCTGCCTAGTATTGACTGTATGGTTTTGAGCATTTTATTTACCACTGTGTCATCTGTATAATGGGGGTAATAATAGTACTACAAATGCTTGTTATAAGGACTCCACCCACAAATAGCTTCTCATTTCATCCTCACAGTAACCCGATGAGGTAAGAGGTACTAATACCATTCTTTCTCCATGTATTTTGGGATTAACTAAGGTAATTATATTAGTTGGTGTTTGGGTAAGGTGCTGTAGCAAAGAGATCCTTCAATTGGAAGTTTGTCCCTCTTCAGTCATCATCCAGGGCAGGTTCTATTCCATGGGTTATCTGGGGACCCAGGTGGGTGAGGCAGCTCCACTCCCCACAGTGTGGGGCTCCCTTTCTGCTGCTTTCCTTGTCCTCACCCACATGGTCAAATGTAGCTCACCATGGTGGAAGAAGGGGAGAATGGATTTGGGGAGATAATTCTTAGCTGGCCACAATAATGTATGCAAAACTCTTATTATTCAGTAAGTTCTCAATATCATGGCTATTATTATTACCCGAGCCTCCATCCTGGTGGGAAAAGATTATAGTGAAAACAGCTTATAAGAAGGGTTACAAGCCAAAGCTTACAGCAGAAGGTTTGAACACAAGGTGACTGTAACACGGTACCCCATGTTTTCTTTGGTATTTGCTGTAATTGGTTTCTTTATTGTTTATAATTAGAAAGGGAGGTTATTGTGTATTTTTAGCCTTCTCTTAAGGAAACCTAGTGAAAATGTTAAGTAGAGATCCCTAATTATCTTCCATTTCTCATTAGTCATTTCTAGGGAGAGGAAGCACTATTCTAATCACCTTTAAGGGAGGAAAGCAGGACACCTAAGAAGAATTGAAAAGCAGTTCCAGGACTTGTCTTGAAGTTCTATAAACTTCACAGCTTAAGCCCCACGTGAGAGGGAATTGAGGATTCAGGCACTTGTGTTGGGAGGATCTAAGAACCTGGATCCCTGAGTTGTCCTGGGGTAAGGGGAGAGATAGTTTAAAATGTTAGACTTGGACTGTCGAGCCTATGGCTGACTTACACTTATATTTTTCTTCAAAATATGAACCTTGTTTTGTTCTTATTTTTTTGATACCCTTTATGAACATCATAGTAGTTAACACTTATATGCACCTACAATGTGCCTTAATGCTTTACATGTATTAAGTCTCTTCATTCCAACAACAACCCATTTTTCAGATGAAAACAATGAAGCAAAGCAAGGTTAAGGATCATGCCCAAAGTTCCAGATGGTAACAGAGTCAAGATTCAAACCTTGGCAGTCTGGCTTTGGAGTCCATACTTTTAACCACAGTGGGGTACCAACAGTTATGCTTCTTTATAGAGAATGATATAAATCTAGGACTGAAAGTTTCTTAACCCATCACCCAGATTGCATGGGTCCATTTCCAGGGAGTTCTGGTCATCTTTGCTTTTACTTGCATCTGGGTTTTCTGCCCATTGTGTCTGTATGATTCTTATTTTATACGTGTGTCTCTCCAGCTTTGGGCACAGTGCTGCATTGTACCTATAGGCCCCAAAGGGATCTTAGTTTGGGCACATGGATGACACCTGGGGTTACAATCTTTGTAAGGGAGTGATATATTAGAATACTAGACACCTAAGGAAGTAGGGTTTTGTTTTTTTAAGAAGTTATCCTTGCAAAAGAGAAAGGGAAGTTTATTTATTTATTTATTTTTTATCCTCACCCGAGGACATTTTTCCATTTTTTGTTCAGGTAGAGTAGGAGGGAGAGAGAGGAACAGAGAGAGAGAGAGAAACATCGACGTGAAGGGACACATCGAGTGGCTGCCACCCGCACAACCGACCAGGGCCGGGGACAAACTGCAACCGAGGTACGCGCCCTTAGCGGAACCGAACCCGGGTCTCTCAGGACCGCAGGCCGACGCTCTAACCGCTGAGCCAAACCGGCCAGGGCGAGAAAGGGAAGTTTAAATAGAAAGAATGCTCAAGATCTTTCTAGAAAATGGAAAGCGTATTTATGTGAATTAGAATGGCTTTTGGGGATTTCTAAGTGGCATATAATTTCTGGAATATAAAGTGTGAGGTGTGAGGTAAGCTTACAGTCATCCCTAAGAATATTTTTGTGTGTCAGGCTAAGGAGTTTGGGTGTTAGGAAGATCACGCTGCAGAATGGAAGGTGCATTGGAGGGGCAGGAGTTGGGGCAAGGAGACCAGAGAAGACTCAGGAAGAGCCCAGTTGGGAGATAATGTGGGTACAGACCGAGGTGGGGAATAGTATAAGCAGAGAGGTCAGGACAGTTTTAATCGGTGGAATGCACGGGCCCCCCTGGCCCTAAGGCATGAAGAAGTGGGAAGGACCATGTGGGCACCGCCAGCCCATTCTCCATGTCCCATTTTTCTGATTTGTGCAGATGGAGGTGCCCTAAACTCAGAAACAGTTACACTGCAGGTAGGGCAAGCTTGGGGCCTGGATATTGGAATTAGTTTGTGACTCTAACTTGAGTTTCTTGTGAGAATTCCAGGTTGAGACATCCAGTAGGCATTTGGGTAAATAATGTGTTGTTCAGGCAAGCCACCTCCTTGTCAGTCTTTTTTTTTTTTTTTTTATCCTCACCCGAGGACATTTTTCCATTTTTTGTACAGACAGAGTGGGAGGGAGAGAGAGGAAGTGGAGAGAGGGAAACATCGATGTGAAAGGGACACATCGAGTGGCTGCCACCCGCACGACCGACCAGGGCCGGGGACAAACTGCAACCGAGGTACGTGCCCTTAGCGGAACCGAACCCGGGTCTCTCAGGACCGCAGGCCGACGCTCTAACCGCTGAGCCAAACCGGCCAGGGCGAGAAAGGGAAGTTTAAATAGAAAGAATGCTCAAGATCTTTCTAGAAAATGGAAAGCGTATTTATGTGAATTAGAATGGCTTTTGGGGATTTCTAAGTGGCATATAATTTCTGGAATATAAAGTGTGAGGTGTGAGGTAAGCTTACAGTCATCCCTAAGAATATTTTTGTGTGTCAGGCTAAGGAGTTTGGGTGTTAGGAAGATCACGCTGCAGAATGGAAGGTGCATTGGAGGGGCAGGAGTTGGGGCAAGGAGACCAGAGAAGACTCAGGAAGAGCCCAGTTGGGAGATAATGTGGGTACAGACCGAGGTGGGGGATAGTATAAGCAGAGAGGTCAGGACAGTTTTAATCAGTGGAATGCACGGGCCCCCCTGGCCCTAAGGCATGAAGAAGTGGGAAGGACCATGTGGGCACCGCCAGCCCATTCTCCATGTCCCATTTTTCTGATTTGTGCAGATGGAGGTGCCCTAAACTCAGAAACAGTTACACTGCAGGTAGGGCAAGCTTGGGGCCTGGATATTGGAATTAGTTTGTGACTCTAACTTGAGTTTCTTGTGAGAATTCCAGGTTGAGACATCCAGTAGGCATTTGGGTAAATAATGTGTTGTTCAGGCAAGCCACCTCCTTGTCAGTATTTTTTTTTTTTTTTTATCCTCACCCGAGGACATTTTTCCATTTTTTGTACAGACAGAGTGGGAGGGAGAGAGAGGAAGAGGAGAGAGGGAAACATCGATGTGAAAGGGACACATCGAGTGGCTGCCACCCGCACGACCAACCAGGGCCGGGGACAAACTGCAACCGAGGTACATGCCCTTAGCGGGAACCGAACCCGGGTCTCTCCGAACCGCAGGCAGACGCTCCAACCGCTGAGCCAAACCGGCCAGGGCTCTTTGTCAGTATTGATTGGGTTGCCATCAAGGGCTGAAATCCAGCTAGTAGGAACCATGGGGACAGACTGGGTGTGCCTTGGCACCCATTTCAATCATGCCTCAGCAGGGGCACTGCTGAATACTTTTTTCTCCCCTTGAGTTGTACAGATATAAAACTTTTAAATTGCTTTGTTACATATATACAGAAAAGTATGCCCCATAATCTACAGCCTGGTGAATCATCATAAAGTGAGCACACCTATGTTACCACAACCCAGACCACCTCTTAACAGGTACCCTCCCAAGCACTCTCCCTTCTTCTGCCCCAAACTCACTACAGTCCTCACATCTGACACCATTGGCTGGTTTTAGCTGATTCTA